TGAAATTTCGTGTTCATATCCAACCAAATGGAATATATCCTGAACCTTTAGTCCTCTATCCACACACACACACACACGTATCTTAATTATCTTGGGAATGTAATTAGTATCTTCCCGCCCATAATACTTCTCTTGTTTTATCCTAACAGTAACGGGTTAGCAGTACAGATTCTTTGGTTGTTTAGCGACATTCTTTCATCTGCACAGGCCACATAGTGTCGAAGTGGATTAAAATATTTAAGACTAGATATACATGCATTTTTAAAGGAGGAAGTCTATTTTAAGGCAGTACGCTGGTATTAACAGGAGAGACTGAACTAAACTATGAAAAATATGAATCCTGTTAGCCGATAACTTAGTCTAAATTCGAACCAAACGCCTTCCGAGTACAACTCCAGACCGTGCGTGCTACACGACCTCACTCGGTGTGATGATGCTATTAAGTTTGTACCCTGTCTTCGCATTGTGCGATTGTGTCAGTTGGGTAATGTTTGAGATACAGAATCCTAAAGACTGGAGCATCCATTAAAGAAGAGACGCAGACTTGCTCATGAATAGTTATATTGTCTTGTGGACAGTGAAATGTTTCAGGCGACCGAGAACAATGTCTATTGAAATAGTCAGACCCCTCTAGACGACAGTCTCTGTTTATGGAGCCATATTGTGTGCGATAAGAGAAGTTGTATCAGACGTTCCTATGCAGTGCGCCCTGCGAGATATCGAGATAGTAAAAGTGGCCGTGGCCCTATACAACGTTACAGAACATTCTACTTCCCACTACAGTGGATCGATAGGAAGACGTCGACAGAACACGTGAAGCGAATGCGATATATCGATCGAAGGCGTAGCAGCTATCACAATCTTTATCTTATATTGCAACCGTACAGGCCTGTCGTCTCATTTCTTACTTTAACACGTTAAACATTACGTATGAGATTTATAATGTCCCCGCTGCTGGAAGATCTCGGTGTTGGCCGTGCGGATTAATAGTTGGTTACATGCGTTTCTGTGTGGAATATCCCGTCACCAACTTTACGACTGAAGATGGAGGCATTAGGTTTCTATGAAACTTAGATATCAACCCCTTTGAAAATTATGTCTATCTTTTAGTGTGAAGTTCTTCATAGTTAAATATATTCTGAGAAACTATATTTATGTGATATTTGTTATTTCTAAATATATTCAAATTTTTATCCATTTTGAGGTTCCATCCCTTACATTTCATCATCAGCTGTGCAAAACATACGGAAGTCACCCGATACGAGATTGGATGAATGAAGATGCTGTGGTATGATTTCAAACGTCACTTTTTGAGTTTTATAAATCATTACGATACCTCTGTGGGGGAGGGGGGCATTGTGTGTTGGAGGCTAATTCCATACGAAAGCAATTCCAAAGTTTTCGGATGACGGTAAGCTTAAGATACAAACTCGTCACGTTCCAGTAAGAGAGAAGTTAATGGTTATTAACTTTCTCATGTAGTACTTTTAAGAAACATATTTTATATCCTGGTATAACTTTAACGTGATCTCGTCAGCAGATAGTGAAAGGCGGAATTTCATCGTCGTAGTGAGTCTGGATGTCGCCAACTGTTTTACTCAGCTGCTCTCGGGTTAAAAACTGTGAACCTGGGTTTTGTCGTAGGTTACGATGTTTGCAAGGAAGTTATCGCATTCGACAGAAGTTTACAAAAACTTCTGATCGTTTTTGGACTGTGTCATCGTCTGTTTTTTTTTAAAAAGAACTCAGGTTAAAAGAGTGGCACCTACTCAGCTGGGTCCAATCAATCATGAAAAATATGTACAATCCCGATTGTAATACACTATCGTCAGTAATCTTTAAAATTTACCTCTGATCGTTCTTTTTTACTTTTCTAGTTCATGTCGAAGAATATGGTGATTGGCAAAATAGCTGAAAGTAATACTTTGGTCAGATATTTCAGTTTAATGCACAGCCTGGAGGGCATTAATGCATTCTGCAGGCTTCGGAGCGCCATCTCCACCCTTAGAATTCATATTTAGCTTACATTTCTAAACCCAGTATTTTTTTTCTAATTGTTTATATGCAACAAATCTTACGGCGAAGAACATCTGCACATTCATCGATGTTTTTCTGTAACAAAAAACGAAGAAATTCTTAGCGCTCTCTCGTGTTGCCTTTTATATACCGTAGAATTTGATTGAATTAAATTTGCTCGTTAATGCTTTTGAAGTGCACGGGAAATAAGACGAGGAGGACACCGTGAGGAGATCGTGTTCATGGCCCGCAAGCCAAAGGTAACATCACGAACTGAAAGTGTTTAGTGAATATTTATTCAGTCTACTGTTTTACCCGGTTTTAACTGTGGAGCAAGTGTATGCTAAGGATATTAAGCAGACGGCATGATATGGACAATTATCTGTCCCGTTCTACACATTATATTTGGGGGTAAACGGGCAATGTGTGATTGATATGCAAATCCATATTACGTATTCGAGGGATAAGCGGGCAACGTGGTTACCTCTTGCTTGGTGATGTAGATGGGCCTGTTAAGGATGATCCAGACCGTAGTTTCCCAGCATCCCGGGTGTGTGGTGGAGCCCTCGTACGTCATGTATTGGTGAGTCTCTGGCAGGAGGCTGTGTAGCGATAGATGGCGAATTGGTGCACTGTCCGCTGTAACAAATCACCAGCGTATTCGTAAACTTTAAGCATTTTATGTGCTGATTTTAACTTAAAAAAACCGTGTTTAATGTTCTTCTGTGTGGGCATCTTTTTGATAATTTTTTTTATATAAATGAAAAATCACAAATATATTAGCAGCGAAAAATAAGGTTATGTTTGATTGAAACCGGCCATATTTTTAATACTCTTTTTTCGTTTTTCGAAAATACTCGCACGCAGTTTCAACGGGATACCAGGTTGATCATGGTACAGCCTCTCCGGCGTTTTTTCCAGCCCCCCCAAGGGAATATAACTTTATAGTTATATCTTACATTTTGAGCACAAATCCTCCATCACGCTTTCTACAGATTCACTGGAGCTGTAGCCTCCTTATAGAATCTTCGATCAGAGTTGTAAAATAATACGAAATCTTGATTCTGTAGAATGGCTCGGACCAAGTCTAAGAACTGTATCAACAACTTCAATTGTGTTTGTGATATTAGGTCTTAGAATTACGTGCATGTTTCTGATACAGATTTCGGGCAGTTTTACACGAAGAATTTCTTTTTTGAGGCATGTCCTTTCTGAAGAGGATTCTCATTTGATTTATTTTTAATGAATGCACTTGAAGACTTCTCGAGATGACTACATAAGCACTGAGCATACCCTGGGCGCTACGTTGGTGTGGCCTCACCCCGAGTTCTCTCTCTCTCTCTCTCTCTCTCTCCTTCTCTGCATAAAGTACAATTTGCCTTGGCTAGGTGCGCGGCGGAGAGTGAGGAGAAAGGGGTGAAGAGGTTTTTCACTTCTGAAGAAGGAAAATGAAAAAAAGGAGAAGAGATCATTTGGAGCTGTTTCTAAAAAGAGTTGGTTAGGAAGATTCTCTGAAACCTGACCGTAGCCAGGTCTCGACTTTCTATTACTGCGAACCGACGGGGCGCTTGGGGGGGGGGGGGGGGGCCCAATATGACGGGCGGTAAGTAGCCTACAGCAGTCAGCGCTGCACTGGCCCCACAAACTGGTTCGTTTCATCGCTTAACGTTATCAGGCTGTTTCGTTCAAGTTGGTTGGGACGGGACGGACATTTTGAAGCCATCAGATGATTCGACAGATGTAAATATGTACAACTGTATGATCTTTGTTAAGGCTAAGGTAAAGTTAGAAACGTGTGTGGTTGTGAAGATGTTAATGACATCACGATATGTAGTGCAGTCGATAACGTAACACCCATTTCGCCGTTCCTCCGCTGTAACAAATAGTACCAAGCTTTACGCGTACGTAATTATTTGCAATACTGATTGCAATAGCAGAGACCGGCGGTGAATTTATGAATTAGGAGCTTCAGACAGCCGACAAGAGGTGGTACTGGGGCTTGATGTTGGGGGGGGAGGTTCTAAAAGAATCCCTCACCGGGAAAAAACAAATTAAAGTTGTTACGAAACTTTCCTCACGGCTTCCAAAATGGACGTATTTTTTCTAACTACCTGAAGAAGGAGACGTGAGTACTGGATTGATCTGGCTTAGGATAGGGACCATCGGCTGTCTCCTGTGAACACAGTAATGAGCCTTCGGGTTCTGTAAAAGTCAGAGGATCTCTTGACCATCGGAGCGGACGTTAACTTGTCAAGAAGGACCCTCCATGGAGTTTATCAGCACAGAATGAGAGAAGGCAGAACTTGGAGCGTGTACTGTTAGATGTATAGGGGAGTAGACAAGAAAAGATGAGCCTCCTCAAAGAAGTTCGTGTGTGTGAAACTTAAGTGTAAATAATATACTTGAAGAGACAGTACACACGCGGAAATTCGGAAAGCTCGTGTAGATAAAACTGTTATAAACACTTGACAGAAGAGAGGATGGAATTATGAACTTACGCACTAAGGAAGAAAGATTATTGAGTTCGGTACAAACAAACGTCTTATCATTGCTTAGTATTTGAAAAAATGAAGACGAAAGACACACAGAAGCTCGTATCACGTAGGGTGACATGAGTGGGGCATGTAGAACGCACGGGGAAATTGTAAATACTCGCACAATTTGAACAGGGAAAACCTTGAAAGGGACAAGGAGGGCGTAAGAGAGGATGACGATCTTGAAGAAGAGAATTAGATTTTGACAGGATTTGGGTTGCTGCAGCGACGTGTTCGATCATCAAATCCTTTTCTTCAATCCCCTTAAAATACTTGTTTCTTGTATTCTCCTTCCACACTCTTTTCGGCGCAGTGTTCATTGATGTCTTTGTTGAAAATTTATCCCCGTCTTTAAATTTTCTCCTTTCGCTTTAACAGTTTTGTACGTCTTTTTAATCTGTTGATAAGTGCCGTATTTTTGCTGGCATTGGGCTAAAGGGAAGTTAAAACTTTCTCATTTACAGACATGTTGATCATTGAAGGATAAAATATTTACCTGATTATGGGTTACTAGCCAGATTATTAGCAGAACAAAACAAACTGACCTACACTTAACTACTAAGGACGTACAACTAGAAAAGGCCTCGTAACGCAAAGAACTACTTTTTTACAATCTTACTCCGTATGTCCATTTAATAGTGAATTTAAATTTAATTAACGAAGTGTTAAGTTGTAATTTGCTCGTTCGTTATTACGAAATTTATTTGATTTGTTGACAAGACTCAGTGAAGAGTACAGCGGAACTCCTGGTGCTTAATAAAACTTTCACAGGAAACTTCAGGCATAAGATGGAGATAATTTTGTATTTATTAATTATATCAGATTGTGATATTATGGGTTTTTTCCCGCCATTTAGTCTTGAAGGTTGAAGATGGAGGCAGCGTGTTCATATGAAACAGTTGTATACAGCTACAAGCCTATAAAAAGGAACAGCTCAGAAGACTACAAATTAAAACCACACTGATCTGATGAATCTTAAATTCTAGAACAAAAATTATCTTGGCGATTAAGTGCCTTAGGTGTGATGGACTATTAGTGTAATTAATTAATTAATTAACAGAGGCGTCTTATTTTTATCATAACTAAGAAGTAAAGTCAGTTTTACTTTAAACTGAAATCCGTTTAAATGTCAACTTGACTTAATTGTTTTGAAAACTTTTCTGCGGGAAAAATGTTTCTCAGTTCAAAGTTCACCACAGCAGGGTTGCAATCTTAAATCGCACAATAAACTTACCACTAAATCTGCTGTAGAATGCGTCATGCAACTAGTAAATGATCGAACTTAGTAATCGTACATCATCCAGTGAAACAGTTGTTACATCTACTGTAAAATGTACTATGCGACTTTTTTCATTATTATTAGTGTTCTGTCTGACGACATGTCCATATGAACAGGATCCTTCCATCCTTTTCTCGGACTGGGACCTGTTCATATACGTTCTTGGCAGATGATCCAGAAGTGGTTTGCCATTGCCTTCTTCTGTGTGTGAATGAAGTAATTGTTGGGATGCCACGGAGGAAAACCAAGTCAACTTATAAATTCGGGCACCGCCGGGAATCGAACCCGAGACCCCAGGATTACAAGCCCAGCGTTCTAACCGCTAGACCACCTCATCTTATTATTATTTAGTGTTCTGGCTGACGACAAGTCCATATGAACAGGATCCTTCCATCCTTTTCTCGGACTGGGACCTGTTCATATAAGTTCTTGGCAGATGATCCAGAAGTGGTTTGCCATTGCCTGCTTCTGTGTGTGAATAGAGTAATTGTTGGGATGCCCGTGGCAGTCAACGTAAAGAATTATTGTAAAATTGAGAAGTTCTGCATTGAGGATTTCTGCAATGGTTTCTGAATGCGACTGTCAACTAGCAATAGCATTGAGGCAGGGTTTAAGGTTCACACTCCAAACAAAAGCCTCGTGACTCTGATGTAATTAGTGAATATAAGTCCGGCTCCCAGCAGGGGGCTGAAATTCTAGAATCCCATGGGGATTACTTTATACACGCGGAGCAAAAGGGTATTTTCCTTGCACAAGACCGTGGGTGTAAAAATAGTATATGTGACTCGTATTGTGTAGAATGCAAGATATTCATTTCATTCTGACAGAAAGACCTTCCTGGCTTCCTTCCGTGTAAAACTACACACTTCTGAAGGTTCTTGTTTTACATCGTGAGACCCACCCTTGCTCTCTGTAATTCAACCGTGCACACACAGAGCTCGCCAGGGGTGGGGGTGGGGGTGCAAATTAACTGAAACGAGAGGTGAAAAAGTCTTCTAACTTTCAGGAATTGAAACGACGGAGTTCAAAAGAGCCTTAATCTACTGCATTTTCCAACCCCGCGTCTGTCCGGAGTTCTTTCATGCCTCTCATGAAACGTTCAAATTCTACGTCTCGGTTTTTAATTGGACGTTTCACAGTGGACCTGAACTGACAGAGTCCTTACCTTTGCCTCGTAGAGTCGGTTTCGAAATGCGATAATCAGAAGCTGAAAATACAAACGAGACGCTCAGCAGCTATCAAAATTTACGTACCTGTCCCATTCAGACACAAGTGTTTTAAAAACAACTTAAGATGGCGGTGACTTCGTAATTAATGAAGAGGGGACAAATGTCCTATTTCCCTTTCTGTTTTATACATTTTTATTTTTTTCGAAAGAATCAAGTTTATAAACCGTAGTTTTCATAAATTTTAGCTGTTGTTTTGTGCGGGTGTGAAACTCGGTCAGGATTTGAAGTTTTGACAGCGGTGAGTCTTAAGATGGCTGTCTTCTGGGATGTTAGGCAGTGTAGTCTAGTAGAAGTTGACCGACGTTTCAGAGGTCATACTGCCTCCATCATCAGGGCGATGAGTATGAAGATTTCTGTCTTCTGGGTTGTTGCCCTGTGTAGTCTGGTCAATGTTAACCAACGTTTCAGAGGTCATACTGCCTCCATCATCAGGGCGATGAGTATAAAGATTTCTGTCTTCTGGGTTGTTGCGCTGTGTAGTAAACCGTCGTCACAAACACTTGAGCACACCTCATGTACGAGCAGTCTCTTGGCGCCCAGCTGATCAAACAGAGAAATACGTAGTCAAATCCATCTTGATCATTTCCGGGGACCAAA